TGTCACCTTTGACCTTTAGCCTGGTGCTGCACAACCAGTAGCTTTGATCACTGGACCTCAGGGACCTGCTGGGGGTGTAGGGACTGAGAAGATCACCAATGTAAGATGGTGCTTGTCCATGTAAGGCCCTATAGACCAGAACCAGGATCTTGAAATGAACCCTGAAGTTGACTGGCAGCCAGTGAAGCTGGAGGAGAAGCGGGGTGATGTGGGTGTGTTTGGAGGACTTGGTCAGAAGCCGAGCACAGGCGTTCTGAACCACCTGTAGACGGTTCAGGGAGGTTCTGCTCAGACACGTGAAAAGAGAGTTACAGTAGTCTAAGCGTGAGGAGATGAAGGTGTGGAGAACTGTCTCAAGTTCAGAGCGGGACAGAATGGGACTCAGCTTAGCAACGTTCCTGAGATGGAAGAAGGAAGAGCCAACAAGAGAACTGACATGAGAATCCAGGGTGAGAGCTGGGTCAAAGGTCACGCCAAGATTCCTATACCATACGTAAACTTGGAGACGGCCACAGAAAAGGAGCGCTCAGAGAGATAAGAGGAGAACCACTCCAGAGCAGATCCTGATAGGCCTACCCAGTCTCTCAGCCTCTCCAGTAGCAGGTGATGGTCAACAGTGTCAAAGGCTGCAGTCAGGTCCAGCAGGACCAGAACAGAACAGTCCCCTGCATCACTGTGAGTCAGAAGGTCATTAGAGACCCTAAGAAGAGCTGTTTCAGTAGAATGAGCTCTACGAAAACCTGACTGGAAGCTATCATAGATGTTATGTTCATCAAGAGCAGCTGTGAGTTGTTTAGCCACAACCTTTTCCAAGATCTTGGAGATGAACGGAAGTTTAGAGATGGGTCTGAAGCTGCTATGGAGAGAGGGGTCCAGACTCGGTTTTTTAAGAAGCGGGTGGATGACAGCGTTCTTAAAATAAGCAGGGACCTGACCAGAGACCAGAGAAGCATTAATTATAGAGAGCACGCTGGGACCGATGGACTGAAAAGCACTTTTAAACAAAGATGAGGGTAAGATGTGGAGGGGGCATGCAGAGGTCTTCATAGAGTTAACTAGTTTGGTTAACTCAGGCAAAGAAACAGGAGCAAAGCTATCTAGGATGATGGGCCTGGTTGGAGTCGGGAGAGGCGGCGATAAGGCTGAAGGAGAGATGCTAGATCTAACCTTATTGACTTTGTCCACAAAGAAAGACAGAAAGTTCTCACAGTCTGCAACAGAGTGGATGGAGGCTGTAGGAGAGGCAGGAGAGACGATGCTGCTGATGGTGTTAAACAGCACCTTGGGGTTCCCTTTGCTCTGGGACACCAGGTTGGAGAAATAGGAAACCCTGGCGTCTCTGACTGCAGAGTTAAAGGATGTCAGAAGATCCTTTAGGTGCAGCAGATGGACGTGGAGACGGGTTTTCTTCCACAAACGCTCAATGTTTCTGCATTGGCGCTTCAGGCTGTCATTAAACCAGGGAGTAGGGTTCACTGCAGGAACTGATCTGGTTCTGACAGGACAGATGTTGTCCAGCATGGAGAGGCAGTGCTCGTTAAACTGAGAAGTTAAGGAATCTGGGTCAGAATGATTGTTTTTTACATTTGCTCGTGAATTTCAGAACAAACACTTCTGAAACTTATTGAACATTTAACATTCAAAACTTATTAAAAAAACTTTCTAGTATTTTTCATGATGTCTTATGATCCAAATCACTGCCAGCCCCATGGATTGGCCCTTTCATCGTTGGTCCCCTGCGAGAAGTCCGTGATTACGGACTTGGGTGTCAAGATAGACTCTGGTCTACGATTTGATATTCAGGTGAACTCTGTTCTTGTCTCTATCAGTTGTCTCAATCTAATATTAAGTCGATCTTAACTAAACAGGAGTTGAAAACTGTAGCCAGTGCCTTCATCATGTCTAGGCTAGAGTACTGCAACTCCCTGTATGCTGGCTTGAGCCCGTCCTTAACGACTCCGCTCCAGCTGGTCCAAAACGCTGTTGCCAGATTTATTTATGAGCCCGTAAGTGGGAGCGTGTCACTCCCCTCCTGACAGATTCGGACTGGCTACCGGTGAAGAGTTGCATCTTGTTCAAAATCCTGGTCCTTGTTTTTCAGTCCCTATCTGGATCAGCGCCAGCATATTCAGCCTCCCCGCTAACCCGTCATGTCCCTGCAAGATCGCAACGTTCGGGTCAGAGTGACCTTTCGGTGGTATCGCGATCAAAGCGTAAGCCTAGGGGTGATCATGAGTTTGCAGTTCTGGGTCTTCCACAAGACATCAAGCCGTCCACATCGCTGCCCGCTTTTGTTTGGTTGGTCGGTCGGTCGGTCGGTCGAACCAAGCAACATAAAATCCTCATATGAATAAAGATGATGATATTAAATGAAATACTAGCTAAATGTGATGAAAACACAGTTATGAATAGTCCGAACTAAAGGGAAAAATGTAGAAACAGAAATTAGAGGTCAGAGGCGACGGCAGGAAGAGAGCCTCACAAACGTAACGTTTTTAATCGGAGAGAAAATTGGTGCAGATGGAAATTTGCTCAAACAAAATCACGGGAGATGTCTGAAAGTTTGGAAATGTTTATCGTTTGTTAAAAAAAACAGCATTTCAGGGATTAGTGTTAAGGAGCTATTAACACAGATATGAGCTTACTGCTCCCACAATTATTCACTGAGGATGTGTCTGTTAAACGTCAGCTCCTGAACCCTAAATCAGGTCCGAATAACCGCCTCACCCCACCTTCAGTACTCCTGAACCCATGCGCTCTGCACTAACGCAGCTACTCCAAAGCTGGCGCAGCTGGACAACATTCATGCACAGTCGCAGTTGGCCTAAATAGATAATGTGATATAAACCATATATTACTATGCATTACTGTATTTGAGTATTTATTAAGCATAACACATCCCAGCCCTACTTGTTTTTTTTACTAGAGCGAGTGTTATCAGCTGGGTGATGAAATATACCCACTGTAATGCGATCATGGACCACTAGGGGTATGAGTATCACTGGTTGGCAATCACTGGCCTAGCTAAAAGTTATGAGGATCCAGCCAACAAAGATGGAAGCCCAGCTAGCCATGGCATTAGCCCAGGTGGCAGAGGCCCAGCCAGCAATGGTAAAGGCCCAGATAGCAGAGATGGAAGCTGTACTGTAGCTTTAAACAATGTATCTGTATATAAGATAATATCATACAATGTTGTAATAACTGCAGCTGAACAGAATGTGTCGTCCTTTTTCATTTGGAGCCCCGAAGAAGAAATGCCACCTTAGAGGCTGTGGAGAGGCAGCTGGACTGTTGTCTAGGAGTCATCAATTACAAGGTGACTCTGTGGAGACTCCATTCTCCTACAACAGCATTGTGCTATTATACGTGGGTTTAGGAATGTGTCTTTACCAAAGTAGGACTTTTCAGGGATGCTGTTGTGGACTTGTAAGCAGTGGGCAGAGGCCAGAAAGGCAAAATCACTATTGGGCTGCATGGTTCTCCGTCGGTCTTCTGCTGTCTGTGTTTAACATGGACTGTATTGTAATAAACCTGTTATCTGTTTAGCTTAAACTTTTTCATCACTGAGTACAACCACGCCAAGATACAGGACCAGCTCAGCATGCACATCAACCACAAAGCCCAGCTGGCTGTGGTGTTTTCTCCACTAGCGGTAAGGACCCAGCTAGCACTGAGGATGGTCCAGCTAGCCGTGGGGCTAATTCAGTAACAGGTTGAGGCCCAGGATTTGGTTGAACATCACCGGCCAAGAGAAGTAAATAACCTGCTCCTGTTTCTGCTCACCTGGGGGTGTCCTGGCATGGCCACAGTCCACTGACTCCATTTGGTTGGGTATAGGATTTGATTGGGTTTACGCAGAGCTCAGTAGAAGATGAAGAGTTGTCCATGCTGTAAAGCAGGATGTTGATGGAACAATCCAAGGCCTTTGGGATGGCTTTTTCAGCAAACTCACAGGACCGGCCAAACTGTGTCTGCACCGTGGCAGCCATTTTATTACACATTTAGTTATGTGACAGCTGTTTTTCCACCAAACGATTTAATGAGTAAAATAATTAGTGGATGAGGAACATGTGTGGACGCGGTTCCCCCACTCTACCTCTAGATGCTGTGCCTATGCATGGTCCGAAGTTCTCTTATATTTAGAAACATTTGCACACAGGAACAAAATGACACAATGTGTACATTTGATCTTACGCACCATATACACACACATCTGTCTGTAAGTGCGGTTGATAAATGAGGCCCCCTGGTCTGAATAGTCCAACGATTAGAGCAAGAATAGGAACCAAGGAACCAAATGGAGCTCACATGGTTCTGGACTTTTGCCTGAGAGAGACTCGTGGATGTTTAATGTTGTTCTGGATGAATCCACTGCCACACCAGATTCAAAGTGGGTGCTGAAGAGGAGCTCTATTTCAGCCAAAGGTTTCAAATCTCCAACTGAAATAACTCGAAGTCTACCAGGGTTTCTGAGAGATAGAAGAGTTTCCACTTTCCAGATCTAGAAAGTCAAAGTCACGCTTCAAGCTCCTCTTCAGCGTTCCGATGGCGCTCACTGTCAGCAGCAAGATGGGGCGAATGTGTGAGAAAAACACGAATGGAAAAAACATTATGTCGTTGTCAAGTTTTTGCTTCTTGTGATTGTGTGACCTGGCATGGCAGACCTTCATAAACACAATGTACCGTTTTCTGCAGGTTTATGAGCTCACAACACACAAAGCTTCTGTACTTTATACACCTAGCTAGCCATCATGCTATGTGCTACAGCCCCCCAAATGTCACCTGGCAAGGGTCCATCAATATATGATCTGATTACTTTTCTGGTGTAGTTTCTGTGCTACACCAGAAAAACTTAACAAACTAAAGTCAGTAAATAAATGGGTTAAAATGGTGTCATGACGAGTTTATAAACACGAAGCAAACTGAAAAAACAAATACACAAAGCCCTTTATAATACCGTAGAATTTTGCACATTAAGGCTGTTGTTCTTTGCTTTTCAGATCCAACAACTTCTACCTGACTATGTTACTGTTCATGCTGTTCCTGTGTATGCTGCCCACCATCTTCGCTATCGTCAAATACAGACCATCTCAGCACTGTGGGCCGTTCAGGTAAACACACGAGTGGCTGACTGTCCATGTTTGCTTCTGTTATTATTTAATAGAGACAAAGTGCTTGAAGTTTGTGTGTGTGTGTGTGTGTGTGTGTGTGTGTGTGTGTGTGTGTGTGTGTGTGTGTGTGTGTGTGTGCGTGTGTGGAAATGCATGTGTGTGTGTGTGTGTGTGTGTGTGTGTGTGTGTGTGTGTGTGTGTGTGTGAATGGCTACAGGAATGTGTGGGTGTCTGCTTTCAGGCATAGAGTAAATAATAAACAAAATTTCTATAAATATTCCCCCGGTTGATGGAATTTATACATAACACGCATGAAATTTTATCCACTTTCACAATTTGTCACCATTTTCTATGAAAGCTTCATTAATCATGACTTAAAGAAGAGAGAACGGGTAAAACCAGGAACGGAGATCGTCTCGGTAGTTATAAGGACCTATAGGGTACAAATCAAGCAAATCAAGACAAAGATGATCAGCATCAAAACAAGAAAAATAATAAAAAAAACTCTATGATGGGATAGAAAAGGTTCAGAATCAACACGATGAAGTGAGAACACAGCATGAGGTGCTGCATTTGTTTGTCTATTACGGATCGTAATCTCAATCCTGATAACTTTGTTTAAAGAATCATTCAAGACAAAGTGTAACGCAAAAATCATCATTTAAAGTCTGGACGAGGGGTCAGCAGTCAAATCCAGTACATCAAAGCCATTGGGTCTGGCAGGTTCAGAAGTCAACAAAGCAGTACACTGTACAAGTCAAACATTTATCATATTGCTAATACTAATCTTGATACATGGCATAATGCAACATGCAAATACAACAAAAATAATGAGAAAGATCACAACAGGATCAAATACTGAAACATCAAGTGAAACAAAGATCCAGAGGTAAGCCAATCTCAGAAGGCAAAACCTGCTGGGGCACTGACATCTTCAGCCTTCATCTGGTTGAAAAGAGGTCATTCATGTGCGTTAAGGTTACTGTGATGTGATCTGCCGTATCCGGTTCGAAGGACCAAATTATGTTAGAGATTTTATCAATAAACCAATCCCTGCAGCCAAGAGAAAAGAGAGACAGTTAAACCAGACAAGTCGCTGATTGCTTGAGGCTTACACTGCAAAGAGCTTCTGCCCTTGAAGTTTATTTATAACATGAGATAAGAAAAGAACAGAAGGTGTGTGTGTAGAAATGTACGCGCGCGCGCGCGCGTGTGTGTGTGTGTGTGTGTGTGTGTGTGTGTGTGTGTGTGTGAAAGGCTACAGGAATGTGTGGGTGTGTCTGAATAAATGAGAATGGTTTCAGACATAGAATAATACATGACACATTCATTTATTAGGATCAATGATCAAGAAATAATTAATATAAAATTTCTATAACAAGAAATCCATAAAACTTAATCAATTTCCCTCTGGGATTAATAAAGTATTTTTGGATATACTTTGAATTGAATTAAAAACCATAAAACAAACAAGTGTTCACTGCTCATTCTTAACTGAAGGCCAGGGAATAAAAGTGTGTTTTCAGACGAGACTTAAAAACAACAAGTGATGGAGCAGGTCTGACATGGAGTGGGAGCTCATTCCAAAGTTTTGGGGCAAGGACTGTAAAAGCACCTCTGGATTTCCGATGTGCTTTTGCAACAACAGCTGTTCTGCAGATCTGAGTGAGCGAGATGGGATATATGGCTGCAGAAGTTTGGACAGGTACATGGAGCGTTGCCATTTAGTGTAACGGGGTGAGTCGAGCTGGGCGAGAGTTTGGATGTGGCGTGGCTTTTAACCCAAGCGCAGAGTGACTGACGCCGAGTTGAATGGACACGCTGTTTAATCTGGGAGCCGGGTGCGCAGCTGTATGGTGACACAGCTGAACACGGCGACTCCTGGTCTGAGGCTGGTCTCTAAGAACAGGCAGGATTCTTAGATCTAGCTGGTCTGATCTGAACAGGCTTCGTGATCTGAGACAATCTGGTTTGGACTCTAGGTTAGGTTCGGTTCGAACGATGACTGAGTGAGTCGGCGTTGTGTGGCACTTCCTTAAATAGATTTGGCGGGTAACGTGAACCGGAAGCCTGGCGCTGGGGATGTTGGGTAATGGAGTCTGAGCGGCTCTGCGGTGCCTCCCTAGAGGAGGTTGACGGCTTAGAGGGAGGTTGCGTGACAGGAACCCCCACCCGAGAGACGGCCCCAGAAGTCCCAGAGCAGCGAGCCCAGAAGTCCGTTATGAGAGAGGGGTCCAAGATGACCCTCGACGGTTCCCATGAGCGCTCCTCCGGTCCGTAATCCGCCCAGTCCACCAGGTATTGCCATCCTCTGCCACGGCGACGAGCATCCAGCAGGCGCCGCACACCGTAAACACCATCACCGCTCACCCCACGAGGCGGTGGAGCGGGCTCAGGGGGGGAGCGAGAGGAGAGGTCCTAACCGGTCTCAGCTGGGAAACGTGGAAGACGGGGTGAACCTTGAGAGACTTGGGCAGGCAGAGGCGGTAAGCCATGGGGTTAATGACCTTCTCCACAGGGTAAGGACCCAGAAACCGTGGGCTGAGTTTCTCGGAGCCAGCGGGCAGATGCATGTTTCGAGTAGACACCTACATGTTATCGCCCGGCTGAAAGGTCGGACCAGGCCGGTGGCAGCGCTTATGCTGGCGTGAGTACTCCGTGTTAGCTCGTTTGATGGCAGCCCGAGCACGGATCCAAGCGAGGCGGCAACGTCGAACTAGGAGCTGGGCCGCAGGAACCTCCGTCTCCGGTTCCTGGTGAGGGAACAGAGGGGGCTGGTAACTGTTACACAGCTCGAACGGGGAAAGACCAGTAGCCGAGGAGACGTGGAGGTTATGGGACATCTCCGCCCACAAGAGATGCTTTGGCCATGTGGTTGGTTGGGAAGAGGCGAAGCAGCGTAGGTACCGCCCGAGCTGCTGGTTGGCGCGTTCGGTCTGTCCATTGGTCTGGGGATGATTGCCAGACGAGAGGCTGCTACTGGCACCGACCAGCCGGCAGAAGGCTTTCCAGAATCTGGACATGAATTGGGGTCCTCCATCCGAGACAATGTCCTGAGGGAACCCATGGAGACGGACCACCTGCTCCAGAAGGACCTCGGCCTTCTGCTTGGCGGTGGGCAGGCCGGATAGAGCCACCAGGTGGACCGCCTTGGAAAACCTGTCCACGATGGTCAGGACGGTGTCGAGCTGGTTGACGGGAGGCAACCCCGTAACGAAGTCCAGGCCTATGTGGGACCAGGGTCTGTGTGGGACAGGAAGAGGGTGGAGGTCGCCAGCCGGGGGTTGGTTCAGAGTCTTAGAACGGGCGCAGGTGGAACATGCAGCCACGTATTTATGGACATCCTTGGCCATGGAGGGCCACCACAGGGCCCATCGTAGGAACTGGAGGGTGCGGGTCTCCCTCTGGTGACCAGCCAAACGGGAAGCATGTCCCCATGCTAGGGCCTCAGACCGGCAGCTGGATGGTACATACAGTCGGTTGGAGGTTGTGTCAGCAGGTGCGGGCTCGGTGGGCAGAGCCGCTTGGATGGCGTCCTCCACTGGCCAGTGAAGGGCTGCAACGAACCTCTGGGCAGGTAAAATGGGCGGTGGTTCCTTGACGGGTGCAGCTTGGGCGTGACGGCGGGAAAGGGCGTCCGCCTTCAGATTCTTAGAACCAGGGCGATAGGCCAGATGAAAGTGGTAAGATTCGAAGAACAGAGCCCACTGGGCTTGACGGGGATTGAGTTGGCATTCTGGATATGAATTAGGTTTTGGTGGTCTGTCCAGATGGTAAATGGGTCCTGGGCACCCAATAGCCACTGCCTCCACTCCTCAAGCGCCCATTTAATAACCAGGAGCTCCCTGTCCCCCACCCCGTAATTTCTCTGGGTCGGTGTGAATTTCCGGGAGAAATAGGCACAGGGGTGGAGTTTGGAGTCCGGACCGCATTGAGATAGGACCGCCCCTGCACCCACCTTGGACGCATCCACTTCCACGATGAAAGGTTTTGTTGTGTCCGGATGAACGAGGAGGGGAGCGGTCGTGAAATGGTGCACCAGGGTTCGGAAAGCCTGCGTAGCCTCAGGACACAAACGGAAAGGGTGGGTCTGGTTGGATGACTTAGTTAGGGCAGTGAGCGGAGCGGCAATGGAACTGAAACCGCGGATAAAATGGCGGTAAAAGTTCGCAAATCCAAGGAAGCTCTGGAGCTGTTTTAGGGAAGTGGGTTGCGGCCATTGGGCGACAGCCTGGACCTTCTGGGGGTCCATTGAAAATCCTTTTGATGACACCACGAATCCAAGGAAGGAGATGGTCTCCTGATGGAAGGCGCATTTCTCCAATTTACAGTAAAGTCCGTTCTCCAGCAGCCGGGAAAGAACGGCTCGCACGTGTGTGATGTGCTCCTCCAGGGTTCGGGAGTAGATCAGGATGTCGTCAAGGTAAACAAACACCCACCGACCCAGCATGTCCCTCAGGACATCCGTGATTAGCCGTTGGAAAACCGCGGGGCTGTTACACAAGCCAAAGGGCATGACCAGGTACTCCCAGTGACCTGTCGGGGTGATGAAGGCGGTTTTCCACTCCTCGCCTTGTTTTATCCTGACCAAGTTGTACGTGCTGCGCAGGTCCAACTTGGTGAATATGGCGGATTGGGACACTACGTCCAGGGCGGTGGACAGGCTTCGTGATCTGAGACAATCTGGTTTGGACTCTAGGTTAGGTTCGGTTCGAACGATGACTGAGTGAGTCGGCGTTGTGCGGCACTTCCTTAAATAGATTTGGCGGGTGACGTGAACCGGAAGCCTGGCGCTGGGGATGTTGGGTAATGGAGTCTGAGCGGCTCGGCGGTGCCTCCCTAGAGGAGGTTGACGGCTGAGAGGGAGTTTGCGTGACATTTAGGGACTGATGAACAAATAAAATCATTTTAAAGAAGAAGGAGAAAATATCTTTTCTGTAGCGCCTGTCAAGATAAAAATCCTGAGGTGCTTCATAAAAACAAAAAAATGTCAAAAGAAA